CCCAACTGCCTGGCCCTCTGTGCATGGCAGATGCAGCTGGAGAAGCCCGGACTGACATTCGTGCTCTGCCACATGTGTGCTGCGCTGTGCTGTCTCAGAGAAGTCTCTTGACTTCTCTAGCCTCTATTTCTTCATCTCTAAAATGGGGAGAATGGCTGTCTTTTCATCATGGGCCTTGAGGTGAGAAATGAAAAGAGCAGCTCTGTTAGAGCTCGAGGACCCACTGCACGGCCTGGATGGGTGACAGGGAGAAGCCAGGGTTCTGATTTTCCAGCCAGGACTTCTCCCTCCTACCTGGTGCCACTGGGGGTCCCACGTAGCTGCGCTTCCTGCCCACCCTGGAGACTCAGCCAGCCCAGGGCTGCAGAGGAAAGGGGGTGTTAATGAGCTGTGGGGGCCCTGGAATATTCATGGGGCCCTTCCAGCTGTGCCAGGCAGTCGGGGTGCTGATTGCTCCCCCATCTGCAGCTTACCATTCCACTCAAGAGTGGAGCAGGGCACAGCCTGTGAGGCCCCAGGGAAGGCAAATCCACGCCTTCCACATCTGTCAGCAGCCACACAGACAGGGGCCAGAGCCTGACTGACAGGTGAGGAGCTGGCTCGGGCCCGTCCAGCTCCTGCTCTGCGCAGTGAGCTGACCTAGGGCCAGCTCCTATCGGTCTCTGCAGCCTTGGTTTCCCCAAGTGGGGGGGAGATGGCTCTGGCTCCCTTCGGAGAAGATCAACTAAGAGAGTTTATTGCTGTGCAGAGGCAAAATGCATTGTTAGAACTGCTTGTGGTTGTCATGGGCCTCCCAAACTAGAGATGAAAGGATTTTGGCCCAGACGGGACACTGTAGCCAGTAAAGCTTTGGAGGCAGAACCAAGGGGCTCCATCTTCCCCGCCCCTAAGAATTTACTTGTAGCTCAAAATGAATACCAGTGGGCTACCTGTGCATCACTAATGCCCCTTAGGCTCCACCCCAAACCTAAGCTACATGTGTGCCCCCACTCCACGTGTGGGACGGAGAGAATGCCAGCCCCCGGAGACCCCAGAGGGCCAAGGGTCTCTCCCCACATTTTTAAAATAAAAGTAATTTATATTTCATACTTCTTATCTTTTCAGCTGCGCCAGAATTCTATCATATGGTTCCCTGGCCAGGAATCCAATTCTATCAAGAGAAAAATATGTTTTGTTCTGTTTTGTTTTGGGTTTGGGTTTGGCTAGGATTTGTGGTGCTGGGGATTGAACCTAAAACCTTTGCACTGAGCTACAGCCTCAACCTCATTTTTATTTTATTTTTTTTATACTGGGACAGTCTGGCTAACTCACTAAGTGGCCCAGACTGAGCTTGAACTTGGGATCTTCCTGCCTCAGCCTCCCACAGTGCTGGGATTACAGGTGTGCACTACCATGCCTGGCTGGAGAAAGGTTTTTCAATCACAATGAAATTTTTCAGCAAGCTGACTTTGAGGGAATGTGAGTGGAGTCTGAGACTCTGTGGTAAGCTGCTGGGGTTTGGGGGTGGTCTTGGCAAGTTCTAGTCTCTTTTGGCCCAAACCTCTAAGGAAGCATAAAGAAAGGAGAAACAGCACCTGATGACAGAAGGGACATTGGAAAGAACAGCAATGCAGACAATTTTCTCAGCACGGTGATCTGGAGACAGCAGCATGGGGGACAAGACAGCAGCACTGAGTTCACGGCTCATCACCCTCACAGCCATCGTCCGAAGACCCCAAGAATTGGCCACAAGATTTCTGGCATTTGTACTAAGATACAGAACTGTGTGGGGGAGAGTGCTACCCAACTGAGGAGGGAAAAAAGAAAAACGTGAAGCTGGAAATAAAATACAACCTTCTCTTGGCTGGGAAATTGGCTGACATTGCCGGACATGGTGGCACACACCTGCAGTCTCCACACTCAGGAGACCAAGGCAGGATTGCCATAGTGAGTTCTCCAGACTGGCCTTGGACTACAGTGAGACATCATCTCCAAAAACAAAAACAAAAACAAAAAAAATTGGCTGATGGGAACCAGCTCTTCACTCCTGCTCCCAATAAATGAGTGGCCTGGATTTGGCACTGGCGGTAAGGGTCTCATTCTTCTCTCTCTCTCCCGCCCCAGCACCAGCAGCCCCGCTGAGTCCCAGGCTTGCAGGCCCCTGGACCAGAGCACAGCGGGGAGCAGGAGAGCTGCCTTGATTGCTAAGCAGCCCCTTTGCTGGGGGGCGGGACCCTGAGCCCCTCCCTTGCAGAGGCCAAGTCTGGTGAGATTAAATGAGGCTCCCAGGCCAGGTGAGTAGGAGTCCACAGTTTTGCTTGCATTTCCCACAGCAGGCCAAGAGGCGTGTGCATTCTGGGAGCTGCAGCTTTCGGAGGGGCTGAGTGCTGATCTTGGAGGCAGATAAGCCCCCCCCCTCCCCTCCCCTGTCAGAGTGGGAGGCAGGGAGGGCTGGAACAGCATGGAGCCCTCGCTGGGCCGGGCCGGGCCCTCACGCACCTGGGGCTCTCTCCTCCCATCAACACACTGCTTCTACTGGGGTTCTTTCCCTGCTTACACTACAGAACGTTAAAAGTTCATTGTAAAAAAAAAAAAAAATCAGAAAACACAGCTAAGGAAAAAGAAGAAAACAAAACACACACTGATTCCCAGGGTGGAGACAACCACCTCAAACACCTGACGTCTCCTCTTTCCGTTTTCTCCAGAGGGACAGATGGACAGGTAGGTCTTCTTATGTGATTCGCCATAGACCACCCTTTTTATCCACTCAGTATATCATAAGAAGTACTTGTCTTTCATTACCATTCCTCTACACTGCTGGGTCTCCGAGTATCTCACCGGTGAACTGAGGAGGCTCTCAGAGGCTGTGAGATGTGTGATATCCCCACAGGCTGAAGGCAGAGCAGACAAGAGTCAGCTGACTCCTGCCAAGCTAGGCTAATATGAAGAGATTTTCAAAAGCACAAAGCATAAAGCAGCCAGGAATGGCAGTGCATGTTTATAATCCCAGCGGCTGGGAGGCTGAGGCAGGAGGGCTATGAGTTCAAACCCAGCCTGGGCACAGGAGAGATTTCACAAGATCCTGTCTCAACATAAAAAAGAAAAAGACAGTGGATACAGCTCAGTGCAAAGGCCCTTGTTCAATCCCCAATACAGAAACAAACAACAAAGCATAAAAGAATGCCATTCTCTTTTTTTTTTTTGGAAACCATAGTCACTTTTCAAAAATATACATTTGCTGGGAGAACTTAAAATGGATTTATTTGAAATAGTGAATTAGTCAATACATATTTTTCAGATTCTTTGATATTTATTTTGAACACACTAAATGTGGACAGCTCTGGCCCCTATAAACAAAAGCTCTTAGATCTTTCATAGACGCAGGAGAGGAAAGGGAGGCTGTGACTGGTGGCTTGGGGGCACCTGCTCCACAGGACTGGTGTTAATGACCGGATGACTGCAATTGCACCACCATACCCAGGAACTGCAGCTTTGCCTAGATTTCAGAACAGCTCTGTGGAAGACTTCTGAAGTGGAATTGCCGGGCCACTGCACATACATTTTATTTTGCTCTTCCTTGCGTGCTGGGGATTGAACCACTGAGCTGCAGCCCTGGTCCCTGCACACTATCTGTTGGTTGTTGACTGATGTCACCGAGTCACCCATTTATACGTTACCAAGAGTGTATTCAAGCTCTGTGATCTCTCTCCCTCTCTCAGCAATACTGAAGATTATTACCCAAATTGTTCTGATTAGTTCAGTTAAGCCATGTAATTAGTTTCCTGTGAATTGCTTATGTATATCTTTTGTCCACTGTGGGGTTCTTTATGCATTCCAGACCCAAATCTTTCGTGTGTAACATACAGCAAATACTGTGTCAAGTATGTTGTTTGCCCTTTAATTTCATTAAGGTGTTGTCTCATTCTAGAACAGGACCTTAATAACTGGAAAACTTTATTCTAATCCATTAATCATTTCCTTGATGGCAGATTCTTGTCCTGTTTCAAAGCCTTTCCACATTGTGTGATTTCTTAAACATTCTCCATTTTCCTCTAATATACCAGCGGGTTTTCTTTTTCTTAGATTTTGAATCCACCTTGGATTAATTTTTGTTCTGAGGTGAGCCCTTGGCTGACAACGTGGCAGATGAGACACCTGCCCATTTGTGTGGCCGTTTAGTGGCCCTCATCCCTTCCCTCTTGAGGCCACCAAGGCACCTTTATGATCCGGTTTTACCATTACAGGAAAATACGACCAGAGAGGTTGAATGTGAAGCCCAGGGCGCCATGGGTGCTAAGGGCAGCTCTCTCCACTCAGGCTCTGTCCTCTGGGTCACAATGCTGTCCCTTTGGTGGGAAGAGGCATCTGGCCTAAGTATTTCCCATCTCTGTGTCCCCACTGTGTGTGTGTGTGGGGGGGCAGGCTGGAAAATGCCCCTGCTCACGCCTGGAGAGTGCAACCTCAGAGGCCCTGGTAGCCTTCTGATTATACCCTTCCTCCCAGAGTGGCTGGGCAGAGGGCAGGCAGAGAGGAAATAGCCATAAACAAGCGGGACCACAGCGAGCATTCTGCAGGGACATGTGACCTCCCATGGGGACCCTGCCTGAATGGCAGCTTAAAATTTTCATGACCAAGGCTGTGCAGATTTAATCTGCTAGGTTCACATTAGCAGCAACCAAGGGCAGAAAACCTTCAGCAAGATGGTGGGGGTGAGGGGGAAGACCATGACTACCGGCCTATTTTCAATTCTGCCACTTTGGCAGGTGCCCAGTGTACCATGGCTGGGTCTTCATCCTTCCAGCTCCAAACCAAAATGACCTCCAGGAGGCAGAATTGTAACGCTGGACTGGATCTTGGGGACGGCTACTTCCCAGCTCCTCAGGAAAGGGCAGACCCTGGAGACTGACCGAAACTTGTCCAAGTGCCCCCCTGCGGGGATGCTTGGGAAGGAGACTCTCTGCCAGGTTTGGCGCACACTTGCTCTGCTGACGTCCACTCACGAAGCCCCAGGTGCCACCTACCTGCTCCAGGGGGATGACAAGGAAGGAGCCTCCTCCGGCACTCTCTGTGACGATGGCCAGGAAGCGGGCGTTGACGGCGCAGAAGTGGTTGTCATGCACGTTCTTGGTGATGGGGACCCCGTCAAAGCAGTGCTCCCGGTTGGCCACCTTGCCATAGACATTCCGGAACTTGGAGCTGCGGTACTGCGGTCGCCAGGACATCTGAGGGACCAGAGAGATGGGGTCAGGCGGGTCACTGCTCCCTGAAGAGCCCGGGCACTGGGGAAAGGGCTACTCCTCCAGTGCACCGGAGCTAAGGAAGCCAGGGAGTGGGCAGAGGGGACAGGAAATGGCCTGTCTCTGGTCCACCGTATGCCCAGCCCATACTGCAGGACAGTGACTGGCATGGGGCAATGGACACATTCCTGCGCTGGTGGCCACACCCAGCCCCGCTTCCAGAAAGCTCTCAGGGTCCTTTAATACCATGGGACAGAAAAGCCCACCACACAGAGGGACAGTGTGTGCTCAGTGTGAGAGGTGCAGGTAGAGGGCTGAGGGGAGGGCAGTTCACAAAGATGGAGAACAATGGCAGTATCAGGGACAGGGACCCGGTGTCCCTCTGTGAGCAAGGAAGCAGTGACCACCCCTTATCGTCTCTGCCTCTGATTTCTTCTCCAGCTTCCCCCTCCGCCCAGAATCTATCTGTCCTACCTCACCATCTTTGATACCTCCCTATCGCCATCATCTGCACAGAGATTAAGCAACCTTCCCAAGGCTTCCTCCACTGGCTTCTGCCCACGACATCTGGATAAAGTCATGAGGAGGCCTGGATGGGGCCTGGGGCACCACTGTGGAGCCTGTGACCTTGGGCCACCCCGCCTACTCAGGCATCCGGCTCCTCAGCAGGATGGACCACCGGCCCACGGCGGAGTTCAGGTGGTCACTGAGGGTCCCTTTATGTGGTACAGATGATATTTTTAATCTTGGTAGTCATGTGTTGATCTGAATTTGCATCAGAAAAATATGACGCGCGTGCCAAATCTATGATTTCACAGAAACTAGTGTTAATGAGATCAATTTTTAAAAAAGTGAATCAATTCAAAGAAAAATAAGCCAAGTGTGGGAGCATACATCTATAATCCCAGCACTCCGGGAGCACATGTAGGGGATGGATTGAGTTCCAGGCCAGCCTGGGCCACCATGCGAGACCCTGTCTCAAACTGGAAAGAAAGAATGAATGAATAAATGAAAGAAAGAAACAAAGAAACACCTGGCAAGTGTTCAATCTGAAGGGGAGTACTGGGACCTCCTGTCTGGTGGAATATTCTAGAATCCACAGTTGCCATAGGAAAGAGGTTGCTCCTTCCAACCTCTTGCTCCCTGACAGTATCCGCCAGCCTGGAGTGGCTTCCTCTCCCCTCTCTGACCAGCTGGCCTTGGCCTTCAGAGCCCTGCCAGCCTCTATAGAACTCCACACTGCCAGCGACTCACCAGGATTCTACCCCAGACCTCACCCCAGTTCTCCCTTCCTGAGCGGGACTCTGTGGCCACAGGAAGTGATGGCAGGGCCTTCGAGCAGCTCTGAGCTCTGTGCTCTTCTTGGACCCTGTCTGATGGCACCCAGCAGCCCTACTCGAGGGAGCCCCACAGTGGAAGACAGACCCCAAATAGCTATGTCTGGAGGTTGAGGACAGTAAGTTCTCCTCCCAGGACCTACAGTCTACACAGGCCTCAGAGCTCTGGTCACGCACACTGACGGTCACATCCCACCCTGCAGCGGATGACCCTGGCCAGCCACTTCACATCTCTGTGCCTCCTCCACCAGCACCTAAGTAAAGGAGTGGACACCCAGCTGCCCGCTAGGTCCAGCAGGGTAAGCTGGCCTGATGGGGCTCCTGAGCCCCTGCATGACACATTTGCCCCAGATGCCCAGCCTGTACCCATCCCCCCACCTCTGCCCTTTTCTCCTCCACCCACTGCCCCCTCCCCTCCTTCTCTTCCCCTCCCCCACCACCTCCAACTCTCAGTCCCCAGGGTGCAGCCGCATTACAGGTGCCTACGGCATGCCTCACCCATCCCACACTGTCACCACGGCCAGCAGGGACACCTGAGCTGTATGCTGCTCTCACAGACATGCTGTGCCCCCAGGGAGGGGCCCAGGCAGGTGTAGAAGGAGCGGGCTGGCTTCCAGGAGGTCCTCCCAAGAGCACACTCCCAGAAGCTGGGGCCGACCGCCACGGTACTTCCTCTGCTGGGCCTTGGAGGGGGTCAGGCAAGGAGGCCAGTGACCCTGAGCCCTTTGCCTGTCTGGCATTCATCTGCTGCTTCTCCCCTTGGGGTCCCCCCTTGCCTTCTCCCCGGGCCCCTCTATGTTCCTTCCTTTGTGGAATTATTGCCAAGGAAATTGCAAAAACCATGGCTCCTGCCTGCTTACCACACCACACACCTCTCCTGCTGAGGAGCGCAGTCTCCCATGTCAGTGTGCTACTTCGATCACACCTGAAAAAGGTGCCAATTCCTCCAGACCATCTGTCACCCAGCCCACGATCCAACGTCCCTGAAGTGTCTTTTGCAGCTATTTCAGAGTCTGAACCAGGATTCAACTAGGATTCAACATGAGGCTCATGAGTTTATTGGGGTTCACAGCCTCTCTTGCCTCTTTTAATTCAGACCACACATATCGTCTGGCTTTTAACTTGTGGTCTTTTTTTGTTTTCTGAGACAGGGTTTTGCTATGTTGTTCAGGCTGGCCTCAAACTCATGGCGATCCTCCTGCCTCAGCCTCCCCAGTGTTGGGATTATAGGCGTGCACTATCACACCCAGCTGACCTCATTTTTGATAAGGGTGGGAAAGTCAAGGGGAGGGAAGTGTAAACAGGCCCCTGATTGGGCTGGCAACAGTGAGAGGACACTGGCCAGCCTCCACCTCCTGGACAGTGGAGGACACAGGGTGGAGGCAGAGGGGGCAGGTCAGGCCCCGTGCACATGGGCTTTCTGCCGCCTGTGCTGAGCCTGAGCTCATCTGAGGTCATGGGTGGGGAGCAAAGATTCCTCCCTGTGCTGGCAGCGGAGACCACTTCCAGGCTGCAACTGGGGGCGCTGCCCACAGCTCCAGGAACATCAGGGTGGGGGTGGGGCCCTCTGCTCTTTTCCCTGAAAGCCTGACGGGAGCTGGTTGGACTCCCTGTAGCTGACTGCAGTGCCAACAGCCTCATTCCCACTCTTGTCTGCCTGTCTGTCCGTCTCTGAACCTTTCAGGACCAATAAGCACAAGCTTCTGCCTGCTGACCTTCCCCAAGGGACAGCCTTCCGTAATGCTTAGCGCTGCCTGAGATAGAAAAGGGAGGGAGGGGGCTCTCTGGAGGACTTACGGGTTTCAGTGCAGGGCGTCTGGATCAGGGCCATGTGGACCAAGGAGGGGACTCAGTGGCACTCCGCTTTCCCAACAGAGAGAGCCCTAGGGCTGGAGAGTATGTCCTGGTCCTTCCTGCCCAGATGGACACCTTCCTCCCCCACGAACCCAACCCTCTACATGGGTGGTGACCCAGAATGGCACAGCTCTCACATAGTGACTGCCACCTTCTGGGGCATCCAGAGCTGAGTGATGCTTGACGAACTCAAGTTTTAGCTCTGTCTGTTTTCTCTCTCCTGTTATAGACCGCAAGTGTCCAGGGCATCGACTTCTGGTCCCTGCAGAGCACCTGCCACCCCAGCCTGGCCCAGGGCTCCCGGAGAGCTGGAGTCCCAGAGTGACACTGGCTCCGTGATCTCTCAGCCCTGCATGGAGGTGCTTCCTTCGGGAACCTCGGCCCAGGACTGTGACTCCACTGGCAGAGGCTTTGAGTTTCATGTGCAGTGGGGTCGACGTCCACCCACCCACAGTCTCCCCCAGACACCTCCTGGCAGAGCTGCGCAGACGCAGACACTATGATCCTGCTGACGATGCATGGCACATGAGTGCCTAATCGGAAGCTTGCAGGGGTCAAAAGATTTGCCGAGGGTCACAGCTGTCCGAGTGGCAGAGCAGATACTTCAGTCAACTTTCAACTCTTGGTCTGCCATTGTTTCCAGCCTCTCCTTCAGCCTCTCTACCAGAAGTCTTAGCTCTCTCTGTTCCGTCTCTAAATCAGGGCATAACACATAAGTATAAAGAAATCATAATAAGCAGGGTTCGGGGAGTCAAAAAAGAAATCTGAAAGTTTTTAACTTGACCCTGCCAATTAGCTGTGTAACTTTACACAAGTTACTCAACCTCTCTGAGCTTTCATTTCCTTATCTGTATAGTGAGAATGACCCCTAGCTTCCCAGATGCAGCAGGCAGCCAACTGAGGGTGCTCATAAGATATCTGGCATAGAATGGGTGTCTGCAAAAGCCCTGGTCCTTGCCTGTCCCCTTCCTGTATGGGGCAAGGCTGTGACCGCACAGAGGCAGGTGTGGCCCTGAGGAGGAGCAGGCTAGGCTGGGCGGCACAGAGGGTCAGAAAGAGACAGGGAGCGGCTCTGGCCCCCAGATGTGCGCAGCTGCAGGGCTGGCTTGCTGACAGCCTCCCCCTGGGCCCCAGCCAGCCTGTTTCCCTCTGAGAAGAGCCTGGAAGGAAGCAGCACTCATTTCACAGCCTAGTGGTCCTCAGAGCCTCTTGAGAAACAGACGCTGGCTCTTCCTCCTCCTTCTCAGCTAATCACTGTGTGCGCTCCTCACGGGAGCAAACCGAGTCCTGTCCTCGGCTCTCCAAGATGATTTATTGTGGCTAGCAGGAGCATCATCTTCTAGGTGATGATAAGGAAAATTTAGCTCTTTAACTGGAACACAATACACACACAGTTGGCTTTTTTTCTTTCTTCCTTCTGCTTTGGGCTGCTTGTGGCTATGTCTGTCCCAACACAGGCTTGGGGGGTATCCAGGGACCTCTTGGATCTGTCCTGATGGCTGTGGCCAGTGGTCTCCCGGAAGATCTACCCTGTCCTTGTCCAATGGAGAAGCCTGGCAGGCTCTGCTGCCTGACCACTAGCTGTGCGCCCTGGGACAAGCCACCTCCCTTCACCAGGGTCAGTGTCGCCTTCCCTGAAATGAGGGAGTTCACGCTTGGGTCCCGGGTGCTTCACAAAAGGTGTGACATGGAATGGGTGGCTGCCACAGTTGTAGACGACTCCATGTCACCCACACGTGGCATCCTGGATCCATAAACAAGAGCGTGTCCTCCACCATCGCTGAGACAGGGAAG